TGACACTACGTTCAGATGATTTGCAACTGTAGTGTCAACAAGTGTAGACAGACTTTTAGCGCGCGCCGCATCCGGTGTGTAGACACGGTCAGACGGTGTCTGCTCTATTACAAATAATAATTTATATATTTTTTAAAATTCCTAAAACAGCGGCATTACAAGATGTAAATATAGACTAGAAAAGATATTTACACTTGCTCCGTCCAATGTCCATGACACTAACTCACTGCAGAGTTGGCAGTTTTAATCTCTTAACTCTGAATGTGCACTTGGATGATTAGATACATGATGGGCTAGTATATAAAAAATAAATAAATAAGTAAGGTCTTTCCAGCATTAAGGTAATCCTGCTTTTTTTTTTTTTTTTTTAATCATCTCGTCTCAGAAACAAATTTGACTGGTAAATTATAAAGAATGATGGCCCCTTTTGCATTACATATAAGGGATGAGTGATTGATAAAAAGACATGCTATTTATGACTAGATGTAACTTTTAATACTTCGCGGTAAAAGTGGCTCTCTGATTGACTTTGCCTCATCAGTGCGGCTCCCATGAAAAAAAAATAGTGAAGACCACTGACCTACAGTCTTACAAACATTTACAAACTGTATCCGATATGATAAGAATGTTATGTTACATTTTATGTTATGTTGCATGTTTCATTGTTTACAATGGCAGGGCCTGCCATCTTGTCTTTTTTTAGGCCATATCGCCCATCCCTACTTCACACCATTGAATAAAATCTACTAACTTGTTGTAATCCAGCACTGCGGCTGGAACGGGGAAATCCTGAATGGCCCAAACTCCATCGGCTCCTTTCACATTCCTCTTAATAGAGTCTCCATTAAAGGCTTTATGAAAGGTGGAGCACATCAGCACGTCTCTCTTGTCCTTCCACTCAACAAAAAGCAGATTGTCTTCCCTAAACCAGCGAATATTGCCACGAGGAGCCCGTGTCTTTGAGTGGCCAAAGCGGTTTGCACGAATGGTGCCACAAGCCCAGATCTTTTTACTGAGCAGGTCTCTGAAGAGCTTGGGACTGGTGTAAAAGTTGTCAACAAACAGCTTGTAGCCGCTTCCCAACAACCTTTCATTTGTCAGACTCATGACAGAATCATAACTAATGCCTTTGCTCTTCTCGGAATTGACCTTGCCTTCATAAATGAAGAAGTCCCAAGTGTAGGCACACAGGGAATCTGCCAGTACAAAAAGTTTGTACCCCCATTTTGTAGGTTTGTTCTTCATGTATTGTTTGAGTCCATTTCTAGCCTTCGATGCCACCATTCGTTCATCAATGGAGATGTTCTGAGAGGGATGGAAGGAAAAAATGCAATTTGGAAAACCTACCCAGGTAAAAAAAAAAAAAAAGTATACATCAGATCTTTCAGATCTTTTATTGAAATGTTCTCCCATGGTTTCTTCATTCCTTCATGACGCATGGCTCCATATGCATTTGTATGTTCTACACTTCTAATAATGTAGTTAGTGCTCTATTTTCGAGCACTAATTTTGTACTTAATATACTAAAAAAATTTTTTAGTACTTCTTAAGATAAACTAAGTGTACTCAACTATGCTATTTTGGGACACCAAAAATATTAACTAAAACACACTTTTAACATACCATCTCTTTATTTAAAAATGTATTTAGTTACCACTTGTAGTACACTTGAGTGTACTAGCATATGAAAGATGGGTTCAAGTGTACTACAAGTGGTAACTAAATACATTTTTTAAATACAGAGATAGTATTTTAAAAGCCTATTTTAGTTCATGGTGTCCTAAAACAACACAGCTGAGTAAACTTGTTGATCTTAAGTTTATCTTAAGTAGTACTAAAGAATAATTTTCAGTACATTAAGTACAAAATTAGTGCTGGAAAATAGAGCATTTTAAAGTACAGTATGGAAGTGTACTTTTTAACCTGGGTAAAGTTATATAGATGCTGACCATTAAACATTTAAATGCCCTCAAGGCATATCATTTAGCTCCGATCAAATTCGTATGTATATTTCATTACATGTCGTATAAACCAGTTTTAAGTTGAGACACTGCAGGCAAAAACACTTTTTTTTTTCATGCACCCGTCAAGTTTGAGATTTTGGGCTTTTCATAAGGTGTTTTTTCAGACTAGTGGAATGAAAACATCCAAAAGACACTGTTAAGTGTTTCTTTTATAGCCCTGTCGCCTCTGGCTTGCTTAGTTGGGGACACTTCACTTCATTTCCAGCGTTATCGTTGACATGATTGCAAAGATATTATTTAAACTGAGCTGGATGCTGACATCACTGAATTCAATGATGAACTGTCTTTAACTGAAAAATGAGTGTTTACTATTGTCACTTTGCATTATTGACACTATTTTCCTAATTAATGCTGTTCAGTTGCTTTGACACAATCTGTATTGTTAAAAGCGCTATATAAATAAAAGTGACTTGACTTTATCTGTGTCAATAGACTTAAATTACAATACAAAGGCAATTTTCTCAAAATGAGTTTTTTTCCTCCTCTTGGTGGGTCCCAAGACATGGGGCTTCTATAGGTTGTGAATGAACTCTTTCAGTCCTTGATACCAAGAAAGCTTTGTCGTCTCCTGATCGAATTAGTTTCGATCTCATGAGTCGATGAGTTTACCATACTGACAGGAAATCAACCGAGAATATGGGATTCATGTGCTGGGTGATCAGCAAACTTAATTGAATGCTGATATCAATGTCTGTTCATATTAAGAAAATCCCTACACATGATTGCAAAGATACTATTTAAACTGAGCTGGATGTTGACATCACTGAATTCTATGGTGAACTGTCTTTAACTGAAATATTAGTGTTTACTATTGTCACTTTGCATTATTGACACTATTTTCCTAATTAATGCTGTTCAGTTGCTTTGACACAATCTGTATTGTTAAAAGCGCTATATAAATAAAAGTGACTTGACTTTATCTGTGTCAATAGACTTAAATTACAATACAAAGGCAATTTTCTCAAAATGAGTTTTTTTCCTCCTCCATTGAGCCATAAATCTCCACTTCAGTAGCACTTGCACACCAAACTTTACATTTTTCATTCCTGTCTATATCCTGAAGGTTTTTACAGAGGGATTTGTTCATGCATAATTTGCTTGATTATATGCAACATTTTAACCCCCCTTGAAAATAGTGTTTTCTGTCCAGTCTAAGCATTTTCTGAATGGCAAAAATGAGATACCCAAAATTCCCGCTGTAAAAACTTTTGACTATTGAAAATTAACCTTGACCTCATCCAGTGTTTAGATTTTTGTACAAGAAATGTCTGCAAATTAGCACGTTTCATTAAATAAATGACTCATTTGCATATCTAAACCTAACATTTTAGAAAACTTGTAATAACATTTTTTTTTTGCAATTATCAATGTAATCAATCAGCTAGGTAAGGCGTTAACTATTAGTTATTTTTAGGGTATATTTTTACCCTATTCACCTGAGGTGCCTCGCCTTAAAAAATATATAAAAGAGGCTTTGCAGATATGTGTAAAGCTACCGATCCAAGAGGGGATCCAGACCATCGAGGAACATCTCCTCTTCTGTGGAATCCACGCTGGAAGCTGCACTCTCATCAGAAGATTCCACCAAATCAATCACCTCATCGTTTTCATCTTGTTTCTCCATGTTACCATTTACACACTCCTCTGTGTTGTCCTTAACAGTTTCATCCCTTTTCTTTTTTTTTTGCCTTGGCCGCAAAATAATCGCCTCATCTTGTTCCCCCTTGAAACCACACTCCTCCGTGTTGTCCTTAGCCGTTTCATCCATTTTCTTTTTTGTTAGCGCTGGCGGCAAAATAATCGCCTCATCGTTTTCCTTCTTGATACCGTCAACACACTCCTCCGTGTTGTCCTTAACAGTTTCATCCATTTTCTTTTTTTTTGTAAGCGCTGAATGCAACTCAGCCGCTGGCTGCAACAAATAAATATCGTGGAGAAGGGCGGCGCAGCTGAGAGTAAGGCTCTCTCATTGGCTACTTTTCTTGACTGCCCTTAAATGCTGGAATATCATTGGCCAAACCGCCAGGCAGCGGGAAACTGGAGGGGGAAAAAAACTGGATTCACGTGCAAAACATACACCAGATAACCCGACAAGGCACATGGGACCTCCTCCTGTGAGGATCGCCAGCTCTACAGTCATTGTAATTAGATAATCTCTGTAATGAGAGGACTGAAGCTATTTAAATTGGGCGAGTCTGAAAACTGATTGAGATGGCTTGATATCAGGAACACTTAAGGAGATATAAAACATAAAAATGCAAAATAGGTCCTTTGTATATGAATCAAGAGTTTATACAAATGCATCAAAATTCATCGTAACACTGAGAATAATCTCATGTTATGAGAGTGAAAATGGAAAATGAGTAAAATTAAGTTGTAAAAATGGCTTTGTGATTCAGATTGGCCACACAATCATTTTTGTGCATTTTCATAATACAATAGAGCAAAATGCACGCAGTCCTATTTTAAGAGAAAATACACTCAAATCCTGATTTCACAGCACCAAAAATCGTAATCATGATACCAATTGTAACAGAACTGCCAAATTTAACAACGGTAACCATTTAGGCTGATATTGGAAAGCATTAAAAGTGTAGTTCTGATGTTGTTAGAGCGCATCAGAATAAAACTTGGGGGGAAAAATAGCCCTATTTCCTATAACTACTTACAATGTTAGTGTTGGATTACAAATTTATAAAATGTTATATCTAGGTTCCAATGTAATAGTATATAAACTGAAAAAGTTAAGTACACTGTATTTAGCATTTAAGGTAAATATGATTAAATCCGACACATGATTCTCTTAAGCAAAGTTTGTAGCAAGAGGTTCCAGTCAGTTCCTGTTCTCTTATTGTTAGTCAAATGAACCAGATTACTGAGACTATCACCTTTTGTTTGTAATGGCTCTTTGGTTGTGCCTCTTTTTCTTCCACACTTTTTCCTTCCAATCAACTTTCTGTTAACATGCTTGGACACAGCACTCTGAACAGCCAGCTTCTTTGGCAATGAAAAAGTGTCAATGACTGTCTTCTGGACAACTGTCAGATCAGCAGTCTTCCCCATGATTGTGTAGCCTAGTGAACCAAACTGAGAGACCATTTTGAAGGCTCAGGAAACCTTTGCAGGTGTTTTGAGTTGATTAGCTGATTGGCATGTCACCATATTCTAATTTGTTGAGATAGTGAATTGGTGGGTTTTTGTTAAATGTGAGCCAAAATCATCACAATTAAAAGAACCAAAGACTTAAACTACTTCAGTCTGTGTGCATTGAATTTATTTAATACACGAGTTTCACAATTTGAGTTGAATTACTGAAATAAATTAACTTTTCCACGACATTCTAATTTATTGAGATGCACCTGTATATAAACTACAATGTATCACTGCCTTAGTTAGACTTGGATGACTGCAGCGACACACAGCGAGTCCTCAATAAAGAGTGACTTCTATATGAAAGATATCCCAACGTCTCCCGGTCTCTGCTTCGACGAGGAAAAAGTTTCCTACATTAGTACTTATAAACCTACCACCAGAACATTAACTTTTATTAAAAATTATTATTTCCAGTTAATCAATATTATAATAGTCCTCAAATTGCATTAGTCATTGTCAGCTATTTTCATGCATTTCTGTGTGTGTGTTTTTTTTAATTTTTTTTATTAATACAATTTTTTATTGTATTATTATTTCTTGAGGTTTTGGAGTTTAATACTGCTTTCATCTATCATTGTTTATGAGTTTCATTTAACAGTTTGGATGCATCTAAATTATTATAGTTAAAAAAAAATCTTAATTAAAAATCTTAAGTCAAAACAATACAGAGACCAAACATCTATCAAAAAATAAAAAATACATTAAAATAAATCAAAGAAACTAGAAAAAAAAACTGTAAAACTTACCAGTAGATAGAGCTCTCAACATGTCTGTAACTGCATGACTGCTTGAGGGAAGACGGGTTTCGTCTGCATAGAAATACGTTGTTTTTGCTATTCGACATGGCTTGCATACCAAACAACTTATTAATCTTACAGGCAACAATAATCGAATGCAAAATCGACCAAATGTCTTTCTATAAAAGAAAATGTGTATTTTACGTTTCTTGGCAAAATGAAATAGCTTCTGATAACAGGAGCACATAAGGGAATTTAACCTACTAAATGTTAACATGAACATTTCTATTATTTAAAATGATATATAACAACATTATTTTAATATCTGTCACAAAACAATAAAGAGAGCAAAACGTCTAAGTTTTCAAACAATTTACATGACAACAAAGCAAGCAA